ATTTGCGTTAGTAATATAATAAGCTTACCATATATGATGCTGATTGCTGAAAAAATAAGAGAAAGAATTAATTATTTGTTAAAAAAAATTACACAAAAATCCAAACTTATTTATTTATTAAAAATCTTATTTATTTTTTTAACATAGGCGACTTTTTAATATATTTTCTATTGATCAAGATTAATATTATATACACCTCTCTTAACGAAGTAAAATAAGCCTTCAGTTTTAATAGATACAAATAGCATTATTAATTTTTCATTTTTTTTAAGGTGGCAACCTTGTTTAAAAACTCTGTATTCTAAAGCTTTCTGAAATACCCTTTTCTGATAACTCTATTACCATACCCTTTTCTGATAACTCTATTACCATACGAATTTTATAATTTAATGGTTAATTTTCTTCTTTGAGAGGGTGGCAACTCTGGTGGAAATATTTTTTACTTATAGTATATTTCTCTTTTTTCATATGTTCCCCAACAACTCTCTATTACGAAGTCATACTTTACGCACATAATGCCCTAGAGCATTTCTATGGAGCTGGCAACACTTTCAAAAATGATAAATCAACACTATAATTTTGATAAAAATTAAAAAAAATAGATATAAGTTGCCGCAATTCAGTGCTGTATTTCCTTAGACACATGACACATTTATACATGCCCCGCTCTCTATTTAACCCAAAAATAAATTTTGTGTTTTAAAGTTATTTAATTAGCCAATTTATTTCCTTAAATGCATTTAATGTGGTAATAATATGTAGTAAATTAACTTGTGTAGTAAATATCACTAAAAGCCTCATAAAGTTGGAAAATTGCGTTAAGCACGCGTCAAGACACAAAGTTTAGAGACCCATAACCCTGACACATTTCACACTCCTCAAACGCGAAGCACGGCGACCCAGCTGAGATTAGTTAGTTCAGCCAAGCAATTTTGAATTCGTCAAGTTTAAGAAACAAATGCAGATAATTATGAAATATAAACGCTTAAAGAGGCATTTATTATGGGCACATGTGAAGACACGCTCATTACAAGCGCTTACAAAACGCACAAATGCAACGAGAGGCAAGGACAACGCTGTCGTCTGTTTGCATACCTTAAATGGCAATTAAACAATTCGTTTTTCGCTTGCGCTTTCGGCAATTTGGATGGATCACAAAAATACACATACATACATACATAAAAGCATACATATGTATAATGCTTGCATCCACACATATGAGCACTGACATGTGAGCTCTCACACGCAGCCACATCCTCGGCTGTAGTAGGTCAGAAGCGCTGTTCGAAAAGCGAAAGCGCAGGCTTGCTTCACTCATAGCGATTTTCCATGCAGAAAAACCGCAACAAATTTACAAAACTAAAAACAACAATAATAAGACAAAAACATTGTAATGAAAAGGAAAATACAGTTGGCAATGAAAATTTGTTGAAAAAATAAAAAACGAGCGAAATTAAAATATTCTTGCAAACCATCATGTGAAACGGTAAACAATGGCAGTTATGAATAAGTGTGTGACAAAAAGCGTTGACAGAGCGCAGAGAAAAAAACAAACACAACACAAGCAGACTGTAATTATTAATAAGCAGTCATATGTGGTTTTGTATATTTATATGCACAGGTGTATATTCATACATCGTCTACAGTATGGCAAACAGCCTTGACATCGTCAACAAAAGCAGCAACCACCACTAATTCTATAGGGATTTGCTTTATGACTCGCACAAGAATTACGCGTGGCCTGTGGGTGGTTACCATCTACCTTGGCTGCAGTTTTATGCGCTACTAACTGGTTAATGATGTGTTAGCTAAACATTAAATTGTAATTAATTGCTGCCGTTGTTGGCTTTGTAATTGAATGTTTTCAATTTTCACTGATTTTTGTAGATATTTGTAACCTGAATCTAAACAATATAAAATATTTGTCTAAAGACGGATAATGACATTCATCAATTTAAAAATCGGCTTTTGAAATACAGAATTTTTAACTTTTCTCGAATATTCTATTATTACTCCTGAATGCCTTGGTACATCCTGAAAATTTTATTTCATTCAAAACTCGTTCCAATAAAAATATTTTCGGTGTTCCTTGGGACTTCTTACTAAATTTGTACAAAATTTTTGCGTAAGACAGGAATGGTTCTCATTCATTCAACATACCACACCATATTTCAGAAGGCAGTACAAAGGACAAAGGCTGTTATAACGGCCAAATGTTTCTTCTTTTAGCAATTTGCCATCCATTGGAAATTTTAAGCGCAGCCAAGTCCTTCTCCACCTCAAACGGAATGGAGGCCTTTCTCTCTCTCTCWGCTTCCCCCAGTGGGTACAACAGCGAATACTTTCAGAACTGGAGTGTTTTCGTCGATTCGGAAGACATGACGTAGACTGCTTAACCGTCGTCTTTTAATTCGTTGAACTATGTCAATGTCGTCGTATGTCGAATACGATATTCGCTGTGGTATCATCGGTATACACCAGCAGCTTTACACTCTTATAGAATATTGAACCTTCTCTGTTTAGTTCTGAAGCTCGAATTATTTTCTCGAAAAGTAGATTGAAGAAGTTACAAGAATGGGAGTCACCTTGTCGGTAACCTCGTTTGGTATCGAACGGCTCAGAGAGGTCCTTCCATATTGCTCAACGTCCGTTAACACATTTCCGTATTAGTTTTGCTAAGATACCAATTTCAGACATCGCGGTATAAAGACAGCTCCTTTCCGTGCTGTCCAAATCAACTTCGAAATCCACGAAGATGTGGTGCGTGTCAATTCGCTCTGCGCTCTGGCACTTAAATTCCAATCGTTGGGCCTGCTTCCAAAACATATCTACAAAGAAGTATGCTTTTTATTAGTTCTTCGCCGCCATGTTTGAATAGATTGGCCGGCAATCTATCGGCCCCCAAGGCTTTGTTGTTCTTCAGGCGGGTAATGGCTATTTGAATATCTCCATGTTAGCGCAATGGAACATCTATTCCATCGTCATCGATTGTGGAATCGGGTTCACTTTCTCCTGATGTTATGCTTTCACTACCATTCAACAAACTGAAGAAGTGTTCCCTTCATAATTTTAGTATGCTTTGGTATGCCATAAGAGACCTTAGAGTATAAAATTCAGAAAAATACTACATATCGAAGCTTTATCTTACGATCCATATAACAACTAGGGTTATAGTTATATGCGAAGAGCTTGTTAAGATACTAGTCTCTAAAATTTCTGGACGAATTGACAAATTATGAGCACTTCTTTCAGTCAAGCTTAGCAAAAATCGAGAAAAATAAATTGAGCTTTGTTATGTCATTTGATTATAGAATGAAAGTAGAAGAGGAGAAGAACACCGTATTGTACAGAAATAAACTTAAAACATATACGCTTAGATAAGTAAGTTAGTTTTTGGCGTCTAATGGACAATTTCTACAATTCTTGTCTCAAAATTTTGGACAAAATAGTATGTTTTGATCTAGCCACAGAATATTGCATCCAAAGCATTGTATTATAATTATTTTCATAATGTCTAATAATATCCATAAGTTGAAGTCTAATATTCTTCGCTGAGAATTTCAATAACAGCCTGGACCCTTTATCAATATTAAAGGTCGTTTGTCTTAATAAAGGTATCTGCGTTTATTCATCACAGAATCCAGTTTTTTTTCTTTTTGTTCTAATTAATAATTTCATATCCTTAATTGATTAAATACCACCTAATATTTAAAAACAAAGCACTAAATATGTTTATTCTTCACCTACAAATAATAAGTCAAGATTTGTGTTTCAGAGATAAATAATATATTATTTTTCAAAATAACTAAAATATCTTTATTTTAGTTTATTAACTAAATATACCGTTATTTTCTTTCTTTTTCTAGTTCTCAATGTCGCCGCCGGCAAAGCACCAATGCAAATCTCTACCGATGGCCCCGGTGCACCACAAAAAGCTATTGACGGCTCTACATCGGCATTCTTTACACCGGAAACCTGTTCACTTACCAAGCCAGAACGTTCACCCTGGTGGTATGTGAACTTACTAGAGCCTTATATGGTGCAATTAGTGCGTTTGGACTTCGGCAAGTCTTGCTGTGGTAAGTATAAGTAAAACCTTCGAAAAACTTCCCTATCTATAGCAGTATAACTTCAAGCTTTTTACTGCTTACTATATTATCTATCCTTAGTACCAAGAGCTCGAGAGATCAGATTTTTCATGCACTCTCTACAGGCCTAGCTATCATAGTAACCCGTTTTTAATGATATCAAGCCCTTGAAATTCACACCAAATATTTTCATAATCCGTCCATGATCCAAACAATTCTCTCCAGAAATAGTTAGTCGATTTCTCAGACTTTCTGTGAAAGACTTTGTCATCATCGGTTTCTTCGCATCATACCGTTTGAACCGGGTCTTCATTTGGTCCAAACAATCTCCTTTTGACACACTGTAAAAGTTATTAGACATGCACACCAAAACGTTCGTTTAGCTTTCACTTCAGTTAATCACACAATGCGACGAAGCAGACAGTCGACCAACCAGCCAGTCAGCCAAGCAGCCAGTTTGTCAACGGAGTTATGTGATTTTTGTTTACCTTTGGAGCTCCGCCAGCGACACCAGCTTCATTTCTATGCAACGACATTGTTGTTGGTCCCTATTTCATGCCTTTTGAATTGTTTCTCAAATGGCAAAAATTCGATTTTCCACAAGCCAACAGCAGCAGCTGCTCGCTGCGCGATTGTCGTCTGCACCGGCTGTTCGCTTTCAATGCGACGTTTTGCTATGGGTTTGTGAGTCATACGCGCGCAGTTGCTGAATGAAGTGTTGAGGTCGCGACGAGTCGATATCGCTTGTGAGATTGGATGTTGTTGTAGTTGCCGCAGCCGCAGTCGCAACTGTCGGTGTCTGTGGTTGCTCCACACAATTTATGATTACTTTCACTAAGTAATGGCGCTGCGGTCGTGTGGTTGTTGTTTCTCATTGATTTTGTTGTTGTTATTGTGTGGTCGTTGATATTACAGTTGCTGCAACAAGTAGCACCAAAACAAATGTTGGCTGAATTTGTTAGCGCCGCCGAGACTTAGTTGAACCCACTAAGTTCGTATGAGCTCTGAGCTCTAGCTGCGCAGCTCGGTCAATGAACTGCAATGAAACTTGCTTGCTTCTATTTACATATATTCACTAAGTTTTTATTTTAATTTTAAACTTTTTCTCACTTTTCTGCTTGCAGGCAACAAACCCGCCACGATTGTGGTGCGCGTCGGCAACAATCGTCCCGATCTTGGCACTAATCCGATTTGCAACCGTTTCACGGGTCTGCTCGAAGAGGGTCAACCGCTATTTTTGCCTTGCAACCCACCCATGCCCGGTGCTTTTGTCTCCGTACATTTGGAGACGAACACACCAAATCAATTGTCCATTTGCGAGGCTTTCGTCTACACCGATCAGGCACTGCCTATTGAACGCTGTCCCACCTTCCGCGATCAGCCGCCTGGTGCGCTCGCTTCGTACAATGGCAAATGTTACATCTTCTATAATCGTCAGCCATTGAACTTCTTGGATTCACTTTCATTCTGTCGCTCACGTGGTGGCACGCTGATCAGCGAGAGCAACCCAGCGCTACAGGGTTTTATCAGCTGGGAATTGTGGCGTCGTCATCGCACCGATATTAGCTCACAATACTGGATGGGTGCTGTACGTGATGGCACAGATCGTAGCACCTGGAAGTGGGTGAATGGTGAGGAAGTAGCGGTCTCATTCTGGAATCATCCAGGTGGTGATGAAGATTGCGCACGTTTCGACGGCTCGAAGGGTTGGCTCTGGAGTGACACCAACTGCAATATGTTGTTGAATTTCATATGCCAACATCAGCCAAAGACTTGCGGTCGTCCAGAGCAGCCACCCAACTCAACAATGGTCGCATTGAACGGCTTCGAAGTGGGTGCTCAGATCAATTACTCTTGCGATGCGAATCACTTACTTGTGGGGCCGGCTACACGCACGTGCTTGGAGACAGGTTTCTACAATGAATTCCCACCGGTTTGTAAATGTAAGTAATCGTGAACTTAATTCAAAGAAAATGAAAAAAGTTAAATTGTTCGTCTCCCACAGATATCGAATGTGGATTGCCCGCTTCTATCCCGCATGGCTCATATGATCTGATTAATGGCACCGTCGGTTATCTCAGCGTAGTGAAGTATGCTTGCGCTAAGGGCTATGAGATGATTGGACGTGCCATACTTACTTGCGACTTTGATGAGCGCTGGAACGGACCACCGCCACGTTGTGAAAGTAAGTTCTAATAAATGATTATATTCTGTAAAATATATTTAATTTGCGTTTTTCCTTCATTCCATAGTCGTCGAGTGCGACACACTGCCAGGCAACTACTACAACACCATCATATCCGCACCGAATGGCACATACTACGGTTCGAAGGCAGAGATCTCCTGTCCATCCGGTTATCGTCTCGAAGGTCCACAAGTGCTCACCTGCTTGTCTACCGGGCAATGGAGCAGCGCATTACCGCGTTGCGTACGTCTCGAACCTTCTACACCAGCACCGACGCTACCACCAACACGTCCACCAACGCAACCGCCCACAGCATCACCGGCTCCGCCGTCGACCACTCCTTACAAACCACGCATTACCTCTACTTCAAGACAGCCATCTTACAAACCCACCACCAGCACTACCACGACCACAAGCACCACAGCGCAACTGGATCTACTTGGTGGCGGTAAGTCATCATACAAAATCTTTTCAGCGATCTTATCTTTATTTCATAATTTTTTTTATTACTTTTCAACCTCGAAAGACTCTGATGAAGAGGTCACCTATGTTGTACCCGGCACGGTGCGTGAAGAATTTCCACCACGTCGCACCCTACGACCAGTATCTATACCGAAACGTCCCAGCACCACACCGGCATATCATGCGCCAACTACAACGACTACAACCACAACAACTGCCCGACCACGTCTTTATGCGCCCGTGGAGTCCACCACTCGCAACACTCAGAACATTATTCTTAACGCACATCCACAGGATAATGAAATCGCCGATAGCGTCAATATTCGACACAATCAATCGCCGAATGTCAATGTACCGTTCGCTGTGGACAATGCCGATCGCAAGGAGACAAAGGAGGTTAAACTCAATTTGGGCGCCATTGTCGCTTTGGGCGCTTTCGGGGGTTTCGTTTTCCTCGCTGCCGTCATCACAACAATCATCATTTTGGTGAGAAGGTGAGTGTGAGAGCTTATTAACTTTTTACTCTTCTTATTGATTGCGAGAAATCTTCTCAAATATAAGAGTTTCTCAATACATATGTAAATATTAATATTGTTTACTAAACTAGATTTTTAGTACCAGTGTTTTACATATCCTTTACAGAGTTCTACTTTGCACCTCAATAATGTTTGTATTTAATATTAAGACCTTTGTGAGACCCTTCCTTTTATTCAATAGACCCAATATGGTTTTGTCTTGAAAAAAAAATTCTGGATTAACCAAAACCCAGTTTCGATTAAGTTCCCCAACTCGCTTTAATTTTCGTTTGTTTGCAAACTTATGAGATTGTATTAAGTGAAGCTGTGAGGAGGACAACGACGAGTCTTGTTCGGGCATATATTACCAATGTTACTAGAGGCTTCCGAAGAAGTTGAGAGGTGCCAAGCTATTTAAAACTTATGTGGCCCATGTAGTCTTCAGAAAGTGTTAAATAGATAAGCTCTGTGTTTAAATATCATTAAATTAGTGGATTTCATTCCTATCAGCTAATAATTCTCAATCTATTTATAGCGGCTCTTCAATAAAGCCGAAGTATTCAGAATGATTTCTACACAACGTTGCCAATATAGAGAAAGAGCTATTTGAGAGAGGATGTCTATATTTTAAGCGTTCAAATGCCTTCGAAAATAATATAAGCCTTATTTCAGTTAAAGTATCTTCCTAATTCATTATTTGTATATTAATGATGAGATCTGATTAATAAGACTACTTAGAACTTAAGTGGAAGAGGTAACCATATATGTGTAGAATTAATACCTTTATTGCCCAAGAAACCTTATTGAGAGCGGTGTAGATTTCGCAGACTCTTGAACAAAGCTGGGCCATAAAGGTTAACATAGACAATTTTTATATGATTCGATTGAGTCAAAATGAGAATATACAAGCTTACGCAAGACATAGGGTTATCGAGCTTTGGCTGAATCAAAAGTAAAAAAAGGCGCAGATAGATTGAGAGAAAATGAGAAGTTGAGAGAAAGAGAGAGATAAATAGAAAAAAGAGAGAGATATAAAGAATATTACTAGACCGAATCGAGATAGTAAGAGTTAGAGAGAAAGAGAGTGATAGAGAGAATTAGAGAGATAGAGATAAAGAGATAGTTAGAAAGAAAGAGAGGGATAGAGAGATAATTTGGAACATTACTAGACGGGATCGGCTTCTAAATCGAAGCGAATGCGAATTTTTATTTAGACAGAGATGGTCTAATGAGACAAAAGTTTGAAGAAAGTTGTTTTCTATTGAAACAAAAACAGAGAAAGAAAAAGACTCAAACATAAAGAAATTTAGATTTCCGGCTTAATTAATTAGTAATCATTGTCAGTTCTCGACAGACTAAGTCAAATATCTGATTGATATCTTCATATACCCAAAAGCATATCATAAATATTCGTACATTGCGACATCATATACTTAGAAATCAGCGCCAAGATAACTGGTTAGGACAAGTTAACAAGCCGTCTTTCACTCAGCTGAAGTCAACTAAAAACGAGATCCGGAAGAATATGGAATTCCTTCCATATAGTCATTATTTTCCCAAATCCCACAACTTCATATTGCATTTCCCTTTTCAGCTCTTTTTCCTCCAAAAAGTTTTTTCTACTGAAACTAAGTTAGCACTCATTTATCATAAGCTCAAACATTTGAAATCTTAATTTTGAAATTTCTCAATAAATAACCCAAAAATAATCCTTTAACAAAACATCAAATCGAAGCCAACCTGCACAAACGCAATAAAATGCAATTCAAATACCATAAGAGAAAAAAGCAGATATCACAAAAACAATTCGCAATCATGCATTTGTAATCTCGTATTGTTGTTGTTGTATATTGTTGTCATTCATTTAGCACCACGAACAGCAGGCGGCACAATGCAAAATGTTATTGTGTCAACCATGTCCACAGGTCACGCCTACCATTCCCTCCACCACCCAACAACAACAACAACAAGAACAAGAACAACACACATAGCTCTGGCACACAATATAGTACAGCGTCAACGCATCGAGCGCCGCCGCATATAGCACGCAACGGCTACATCAGCCCGCAACGTTTCTACGATCAGCACAGTAGCATCAGCTCATCGACACGCTACGCCGGACCACCCTCACTGTGGTACAGTGTATTGGCGTTGCCCTTCGAAGATCAGAAATTGGGACGACGTGAGCTAAGCACCTATGGACGAGGTTTTACGGCGCGTGCCGGTTACTTTAGTAATTATCCAACGCAAGAAAGAACGGAAAAGAAGCCGAAAGTCGCGACGCAAAAGACCACTACCATGGATGAGGATGATAGCGAACGATATGCGTAGAGGAGGAGGAAGGCAGAAGAAAGTATAGAAAAGGAGAAGAAAGTTGAACAAGTAAATAGTAATAAATAGTAACGAGTTGAAGCAAGTTATGCAAAATATATATGCATAAAGCAATAAGCAATCGAACGGAAGCAAATCGAGTTAACGTGCCAAAGAACCTTGAAATAGTATACACCAATTTTATGTGAAGCAAAGGATATGAAAATAGACAAGTAACGAAACGAATTTCTAAGTACAACATAAAGGCCATATTTTAATGAAGAAAAAATTAAAAACAAAAAAAATCAACGAAAAATTTAACAAAAAAAACGGGAAATAAAAGAAGCAACCGTTAAGTCTAAAAGCAGAGCACACCAGACATGTAAGCCACTTACAACAACATTTACTTACATATCTACACCATACAATAGCGTCACTGATTCACTAAGGATAAATGTACTCATGCAAGTGGGGGAAATGTTAATATTAAATAAATAAACAGAAAATAATAATAATTAAAAAAAAAAAACAAAGCAAAAACAACTCGTATTAAGCCAATGCAATGCTGCCGCCTTGCTGTCTTGTCTGTGCACGCAATCAAACAACCATCCAACCAACCATCCAAACAATCAGTAAATAATCCAAGCATAGCCACACTTATTCCAATCACCCACTCATCCATACAAACCAGCAACAAAAAACATGAAAAAAAAATCATAAAAAGAATCACAAAAAATCTTAGAATATTCTTGCGCCAGTACCTAATCGCACGTATATGTATGCTAACCCAATTTTATATATATATATATATACATATATGTATGTGTGTATGTATGTTTAAGTATATCGAACCACCAGAGAGGCTCAAAGCGGTCTGAGAGCTCACAACCCAGCACTGTACCCAACGGCAAAGGCTACTGAATTCAAATCAAAAGCACGCAAACATGCAACACTCACCATTCACATACGAGTATTAAATGTACCGTTATGCAGTTTCACAAATAAGAATTCGGAGTAATATAATAAAAGTTTTTCAAATCAAATTAGAGAAAAGTCAACTAGGAAAGCAGATTTGTTCCAAAAAATGCGCGCCTCGCTTTCTTACTTGTGAAACTGCATAACTAAATATCACAAACACCCTGTACTTTTTCTACTTTTATGGAATTTACTACATGCATACTTGTATTTCACGAAAAATGTGTTGTGCCTAACTTTGTTGTATTTGTAATGTGCTTGTAATCCACATACCACAGCACGTCCTGTAATAATTGCATACTTATGTGTACTGTATTATGTGTGTTTACGTTGAACTTGTGAAACACTAGCCACTAATTTGCACTATTCATTGTTTGCTCTCTTTTTCCCTTAGAAATCGCACTACCCAACACTATCGCCATCGCGCCTCGCCCGACTGCAATACAGTGGCCTCATTTGATAGCTCTACATCGGGTTCACGTAATGGTCTGAATCGGTAAGTTTTTTGTATTTTCAAAAAAAAAAGATATTTTCTCGAAAACAGACATATTCCAAACTATGAAAATACCTACTTTTATGAGAAAACAAGGCTGTTATCAAATATAATAACTTAAATCCTATTATCCTCCCAGTTACTACCGCCAAGCTTGGGAAAATCTACATGAATCTGCTTCGAAGAGCAGCACACAACACGCTTTACGCCGCAAGGATACGCTTGATCCACCCACTATGCACTCTCGTGACAATTTACGCGATAATATGCAGCGTTCCAGAGAGAACCTCGATCGGTGAGTATGTTTTTTCAATGCTAGTAAGAGAGAAGGTTTTCAAGCCTTAATTTTTGATCCAGAAAATATGAAAGAGACAATGAATACGAGTAATGGCTAAAGTGACGTCAGTAAGAATATTTATACCATCATTTTCATCGTCAACAATCACATAGTATGGAATTGATTATGCTCATCAAAATTTCGAAGAGTCATAAATTACTTAAACTCTCTCCCTGTTTATTACTTACACAATTCGCTCATATGCAACGCTACATATTGTCTACACATTCTCTTCTCAATGTAGAGTTTTAAGCATTAGGGAAATTTATAGATTTAATTCAGTATAAGATTTTTATGTCACTGATGTATAGATGCATTGGTGCGAAGGTTGCTATCAAATTCCAGAGTGCCCTCCTAAGAACATCATGAGGTCCTTCCTCAACTAGATCGACGACATAAAACAAATACGATGACCAAACTTCGGAGACAAATAACATCAGACCATAACAATTCACAATAGAGCCGTGATCCAAATCCTTCTTAGTAAATGGCGTACTTGAAGTGAAATTACCCTCCATTTCTGTCGACGAGCTCGAGTTGCCGCGAGATTCGAAAGTTACCCCCTCACAGCGTCGTTCTGGATATTGTAGCAGGTTAAGCTCGTACTTATCCAGAGTCGACTCCGACATATCAAATATATATCCAATAAACAACAAGTCCCCCGATGACTCTAACCACCTCTTTGCATGCCCAGCTAACCCTACAGATCTGATACCTCTTTCTCTTTGGTCCGAGCCTGACGAAACAGCAAATTTTCTGGGCCTACGGTTTAGTGACCTCGATGACAACTTATCCGAACTTTAGCACCCTAACGGAGACAAGATAATCATTACAACAACGACAAGGTCCCAGAAAGTGCCATTTCGGTATACTCTTACTTCGACAACATCTCAGAAAACTGGATCCACTGCGTCACGGAGCCTACTACTAGCGGCATCTTTTCCATCGCTGGAAAAGAGACGCAGTCAGCTTCTTCACTGATGGACCGAAGCTCAATTGTGAGAGGAAGTCTTCTGTCAGGAACTTTCAACCAACTCTTGCTTCATACTGTCAGATCACTGTAGATTCAAGATTCAAGCTTAAGTGACAATAATCTAAGTAGCATCAGATGTATATACTTCTCCGAAGTGTGGGTTCTTTTGGCGGGGTATGGTACGTATTACCGCCAATAGCAGAGCTGCATCTATGAACTACGGTTCACAATCAGAACTTTCAGGGTTCCCCCCATATTAGCTGTCTCAATAAAGTTATGACAGGCTCTAGCCAATTTGTCGTTATTCGATGGTCTTTTTGATTCATACAAAGGAGTTGTGGGCATCATAACGGACAGGCGTCTTTAGCTCCCAAAGTGGGATTATTCCTGGCTCTCGAAAAAACCAACTTAACCTAGATTTAAGTTTTTTCCAATTCAAAATCAAAAACTGTTCATTTTTAGGATAATAGTCCATAATTGAGATTCTGAAAAGAAAGTTTCTAAACAAGATCTCGCACTCGCTTCAACAGCACAACATTTCCTAAGTATTAATTTTGACACAAATTTAATTTTCTTTACAGTGTCGGTCGTGAGAACTACGGCATGCGTGATAACTCTGAAATGGTCGTTTCCGATGTCCGTCTAAAAGGTACATACATATTTTGCTGAATTAATTAATCTTACCCAATCTGATGTGGAATTTATTTCATTAGCTGGCGAAAAGAAACGCCACCACCACCATCACCACAAGAGCAGCACACGCAATGGCGAATATCGGGATCAATCGGCTGGCAGACGGGAGCACCATAGACATAGCGGCGAACATTATTGACCAACCATGGTGATTACCATAAATGTGGATCGAGAAGCCGATACTTTTACACGATACATTTACACATGAACAACGAACATTTTTCATTTTAAGCACAAATTATTAAGAGTAAATGTATTTTTGTTAATATTACCGCTATGTTATGTGCAATTTAAGCTAAGTGAGTGGCAGTACGACAAACAAATACTTAGCGCTAACATTTCTAATAGTTAATATGTAAAGCGAAAAACATAAGCAGTCAGTAGATTACCCTTAAAAATTACGTTGAAGGAATAAAAGCGTTGGTTTAAGATGGCGTGTAGGGCAGTTGCAAGAAGAGATGAAATAATGCAAATCAATTTGTTTGTTGGATTAGTGTTTTCATTTATAGCTCACTTTTTTGTTTTAACTTAGTTCGAGTTTAATTAGTTTTAATTTGTGCACAAAGTAAAACAGAAATAGAAACAGAAACTGTGACAGAAACAGAAATTGTTTCAGAAACAGAGATGTAACTAAAACAAAAAATGTAACTGTAACGCAAATAGAAAAAAAAACTGTAACAGAAACAGTTATTATAATAACAACAGAAACATAACACTATCTGAAACTATGTAACTGTAACTAAAGTGGAAACAAAAATTGCAAAAGAAATAGATCTAAATCTGAAACTGAAACTGAAAATGTAACTGTGAAGGAAAAAGCAAACAAAAACTGTAACGGAAACAGAATATATAACAGCAACAGAAAAGTGATGATCACTGTAACAGCAAGTTTTCTCCAAAAAAATTTAACTATAAATTTCTCTGCACCTAATCAATCATTCTACTGCTCACTTTCTTATATCCTGTCACGACTTATTTCTACTTCTTTTATTTTCCATAAATTATGAGTAGCTTGGTTGAGTTTAAATTTCTCTTTGCATATTTTTAAGCTAAATCGATTTATTCATAGTAACCATACAAGAAAAAGGAAAATCTGTTAGTCTTTTATTAGCAAAAGAAAATCCACATTTAATCTTTTTATGTATTTATTTACAATCAACCTTCACACACACACACACACGACGTTCACATGCATTTAGTTGTTAACAAATTAGATAAAAGAGAACATTTATATATATATTTATTTGTTAATTAGTGTGCCATTTCCGGCAACTTACACATTAATTATAAAGCGCTATACATATGATTACATACATACTTACATATATGCATAGATAAATATGTATGTAAGCGTAAATATATATCTTATGTATACAATAAGTTTTAATGTGAGAATGCATTTGTCAATAGTAAATCTTATTTTGATTTTTTTCTTTTTGTAAAAAAATTTATTTTTATTTAAGTCGTAAATTTTAACACACAAATTTATGTAAATAATATAATAAATAATATAATTTTCTTAAAA